AAAGTAAGTCACATGGCAAGGAAAGAGCCATATGTATTGACACGGGTCGGCATTACGAGCGGTCGGTGTCGCGGACAGTTGTGCCGCGGGTGGTCGACACCACGGGCGTGTTTGTCGGTCGGCGCTCTCGCGTGGGGGTCGCGCGTCGGGGGGGCATCGTGTGCGGTAGGCCTCGTAAACGGACGGCGTCAGCCGTGGGTGGTCATCGCACGGAGGGTCGGCGTTGCTGCGTAGGGTCGGCACTCCGTGGGTCGGCATGCGCAAGGTGGGTCGGCATGGAAGTGGTGCGACGGGTCGGCATCACATGTACGTCATGTGCGTCGGGTCGGCATCGCGAGCGGTCGGCGTGCTCCAGTGGACGTCGCGGGTGGTCGGCGCCACGGGTGGTCGACGCCACGGGTGGTCGGCACGTTCAGTCGACATCGCGCGGAGTCTCCGCGTGGAGGGTCGGCGGTGGCACTTGAGGACACTCACGGTGGGTTGGCACACGCTCGGTCGGCGTCACGGAGGGTCGGCATCGCATGTACGGGTGCGTTGGGTCGGCATTTGAGGCAGGTCGGCATCGCACGTATGGGTGCGTTGGGTCGGCATTCGCGGTAGGTCGGCATTGCGGGTGGTAGGCGTGTCGGTCGGTCGGCGGTCTCGCGTGGTGGTCACACGGCGGGTTGGCGTCCCGTGTGGTAGGCGTCGCACGTCGGGGTGACATTGAGCGGAGGTCAGCATGTGTGTCGGTCGGCATGTGTGTCGGTCGGCATCGCGCGAGGGTAGGTCACTGCGCACGGTGGGTCGGCATTTGCAGTGGGTCGGCGTCGCGTGGGTTGGCAACGCGTTGGTGGTCGACATGTGTGGGATGTCACGCGAAGGGCCGGCATCGCACGGGTCGCCGCGCGGAGGGTCGGCAATGCGATGGGCCGTCGCATCGCGTGGGTCGTCGTGCGGTCGGCACTCTCACGTGGTGGACGCGCATGTGGTAGGCATCGCGTGCGGGAGGCGTCGTGCGGTCGAAATGTCGCCATGTGCGATGGGCCGACAATGCGGCGGGTAGACATTCAATACTCTTCTCAAATCAAAATGTTAGCGCTCGTTTCGGAGTTTGTAATTTCTCTATTCCTTGCGACAAGCTCCATAAACTTGTCTAAGGAATGGGGGGGCTAGATGATGTGGTCGTTAGTAGCGGCTCATGAAGGACCGGTTGTGATCCGGGTTCTAGTCGCACTCAGCCGGGTGGTCCAATCTGGTAGGCGCAGTTCATGGTACCCTTAGGGTATCTGGTAGGTGGGCGAAGGTTTCTGGTAGGCATAGCCTGTGGTACCTTTGGAATGCATGGGTGGTCGGCGGAGATTAGTTACGTGGGTGGTCGGCGGAGGCTGGTCATGTGGGTGATAGGCGGAGCCCAGCTCAACGTGGACTAGGCAGCACCTGGCCACCTAGGTGGATGGACGTCCCATTAAGGTGACCGGAGCCCAAAGGTGGTATCGTGTTCAAGTCATGAGAAGGTTCGCAACCTCAAGGACTCTTAGGATTTTGACCTAATCTGATGGGAAGACTCCTATTACGATAAGAACTCTATAGCCTCTATATGTCTTCACCTATAAAAGGGGCGCAGGTTATTTCATTTACATAACACACACATACAAATTCCCTCGTTACTCTGCCGCTTTTTCTTCGGACCACCACTGACTTGAGCGTCGGAGTGTTCGCGCCGGGACCACCCCCGGCGTGTTTTGCAGGTACCGGCGATCAAGGAGGCGTAACCCGGTTCGGAGAGGAGCGGTCCAGCGGTCCAGGTTTGTGTGGTATAACAGAAATGTTTTGGAGGGAAAAACACTTACCAAAAATTTATTTTTTCTTAACTCTATTTTATAATAGTAGATTAACCAAATGATACCATTTTTTTTTTAAAAAAAAAACTTTTAATCAGATCATATTTCCCCCTTAAAAACGGCCCATCAGAAATTTGAATATATACCCTATATATTTTCAATATGCTGAACCGATATTTAACACTTTACACACTTCTATAAAAGTACAGTTCCAAAAACAAAAGTACACCAAAAATCGACAATGGAACACCCCTTTAATATCATTAATGATATTGAGAGAAACAAGAGATGCACGTTAAAAACTTCGTGCGGTTCGTATGTTTGAGCGCCCAACTCCAAATCTTCAACACAACATAATGAAGTTCCTCTTTGAAGATAGGGAGGTATTTTTTGTATTTATTATTTTTTCTTACGATTTAAACTATATACACTATCATTTGTTAAATTATTATTTTTTTGTATTTGTAGGGCGCACAAATTGTCAGTGTTGTACGCAATGTTCATATTCAAAAGATAAGGGAAGAACTGAAGCAAGACGTATCTATTTTATTTGTAATTATGAATTGTAAAGTAACCTTGGTATCTATAACTCGACCATCGCTAAATTTAGATTGATTTTGCATGGACGCACTCAAATGAGATTAGAAGCAAGCACCTCATTTTAACGACCTAGCTTTGGAATCTACAAAAAATATGAGAACAACACGACAAAGATACATTTTGGCAATAATATGAACAAATATTGTTCACATTCTTTGTATTTTTTTTCCATGGATTAATAGTTTCGTTTGAATATTAGATTTGATCGTTTAAGAAACTAGGTTGATTGAATAAAAATAGTTATTTGTTTTTGTTAATATTTTGTTGTTGTTTCATATTTACTATTCCCTTAATTTATTCATATCCTTTCTTCTTTTTTTTCCACACCCGAATTTTATTGTTATTTTGATTCATTATTGGTATTCAAAATTTTTTATTCGTACTATTTTTGGAAACTTTTAAAATATATGCATTAATTGCTTCCATATACACATTTTCATATAAGATCAAATAAGATATGATAAAAAATTACTTAAATAAATTTATTAATATATGAAATATTTTCATTGATATTTATTATAATAAATTACAAGATTGATTTTTTGTGAGTCGTGTTGATAATATTTTGGTCAAGATAAATATTATTTTATTACTATTTGTAATACTTTCATTGATATTCATTACAAAAAATTACAAGATAGATTTCCATGATCCATGTTGATAATATTTTGCTCAAGATATATATTACACCATATTTTAAGTTCTAACCATAGTATTAATTTTTTTCACAAATATTCCTTTTTTATTATGGAAAATCATAACAGATTAGGTAGAATTTTTTTTCCCAACTAAGCAGACAAAATCAAGTTGGTGAATTCGTTTTGCCAATATATTTTTTTCTTAAGCTTTATTGTGTTAAATATAAAAAATATTTTTTTCTTCAAATTAATATAATTTACCATTTAAGAGATAATGACAGATACATTAAATAGTTTTACTAATGGTAAAAAAATCAAAATTGAAATGTATTAACTATTTTTAAAATTTATTTGTATATAATTGGCACCCATAATTTTTATTTTTATTTTATTATTTTGATATATTTCTATAATTAAATTCTTGGAAAATATATTTTTACTGCAGGGTATGCTAAATAAACTATAAATCCTTATAATGCAAATTAGAAAAAATCTTAATCAAGGAATAAGTAATTAAGTATTATATGGTGAACAAGAATAAGTAAAATTGTTATTCTCTCTTATATCAAGGAGTAAATATATATACTAATATCAAATTCATATTAGTATAAATTTGTTAGTGAGATAATATATTAATAAATTTACAAGCTAGCTCTAACATGATCATATTTAATGTTTTGACTAAAAAGACAACACTGATTAAAAGATGTGTAAAATAGATTATAACTTTATTGTTTATTACACTTAACGTTAATTAAAAGAGGTGAAAAATAGATGATAACTATAATTTTTTTATACTTAAACAGACAAAGCCTAAGCCTGTGAAAATAACTAATTTAATATTTATGTCTCGTGCATCGCACGGGGTACGTACTAGTTGTACTTGAATATCTAGGGCTTGCATGTAAATTTATCAATATATTAGTCTGCCATATCCAATTATTATTTTACCCAAATTTTATTGTGTGCCATTACTATTATTATTATCATTACTATTATTATTATTATTATTATTTTATTTATAAAATATATATTTATGTATATATATGTATATATATAAAGAATAATCATTTACCAAAAATAGTAGCAAAGAAACAGTCGACCTTAATTGTAATCCTTTAATAGTAACTTTTTATAATTTTTTTTTATATATAATTAATAAAAAATTTAGAAATTGGAAACCGTAAACTTATATCATATAAAACAAGAGTAAAATGCATTTTTAGTTCAGTATGTTTCACTACTTGAACTTTTTCGTCCGCTTCAAATTGCGTTTTTTTTTTTTCGTCTTGTATGTTTGCAAAAAGGTTATAAAAATGCCCTTTACATACATGGGGGACGAATGAGAACTTTTTTTGCAAAATATAAAGGATCTTTTTGTTACGAAAAAATACCTTTTTGTAATTATTTTTGCAAACATACGGAACGAAAATAAAAAACGTAATTTGAATAGGACGAAAAAGTTAAGGTAGTGAAACATACATGACTAAAATTGCATTTTACTCTTTAAACAAATACAACCCAACGTACCATTCAAAACTTATGTTTCTATATTTAAAGAATTTTGGTTTCATTCAAAATTTATTTCTAAACTGAGGGATTTGGTTCCTAAACTTAAATTGATAAGCGTATTTTAAATTTAAATTGATAAGCGTATGAATATTATTGTTTAGGAAAAAAAAAAAATTGTTCTCAAATCTTTTTTTATGTAGAACAAAGTGTGCATTGCGTAATCATGTGTATCATAATTCTTGGTCTTACTATTTATTTTATATCTTAACTAGTTTGTTTTTGGCTGTGCACAGCACAGCCAGGCCCAACTTGGGGATAAATTTTGTGTATAATTAAGAAATATTTGTGTATTATATAAGTTTTAGTTGTTTGCATTTAATTGGATGAGTAAGAAGCTAACATTACATGAGTAAGAAGCTAACATTACATGCATGCATTGAAACAACTATAATCATGCATGGTAAACAAATTTCTATTTTTTTCTTTTGCCATGGCTGGTGATTACAGTTGGAGTGGACGTTTCATTGTATGAGAAAATTTGGAGTTGTTTGCTTTTTCATCTACATCTTATATGAAGAATTATCTGATAACCTCTACTTAGATTTTGTTTTGTTTTCTGTGTTTTTTTTTATGTTACAAAAAAATTTTAATAATTAAATTTTTATTTCCTTGTCTCTAAGATTAT